CATCCCCTCGTTCTCCAAGAACCTAGTTGGTGTCGGCTGCCTTCAAGACCTTGGCGTCACCACTACGTTCCCTGGTCACAAGCAGTATACTGTCTGTACCGAGGCCGCCACAGGTGCCCCCCTTACCACGTTCCCCCGGAACCCGGTGTCCGGCGTGTTCACACTGGACACCGTAACCCCCCCGACAAGGGCGTCCCCCCAGGTGGCTGCGTCTACCCAGGTTGCTGCTGCCTGCTCTTGTCGGTCCCTCACGCACCCGACTCTCCAGTGGCACCACCGCCTAGGCCACCCTGCGCTCCCGCGTCTGCGTCTCATGTCCCAGCACGGTCTCGTTCTTGGTCTCCCCGGTTCGTTTCCCGAGTTTCCCTCCTCCCCCGCCCCCCCGTACACGCCTTGTGTCGAGGGTCGGCTTCGCCGTGCCCCTCACTCCTCCTCGTTTCCCCCTACCACCGCGTCGCTGCAGACCCTGCACATGGATGTCTGGGGCCCCGCCCCTGTCCATGGGCCGCGTCGAGAGCGCTACTTCCTAGTGCTTGTCGACGACTTCACACGCTACACCACAGTCTTTCCCTTGGAGCCGAAGGCCGACGTGCCTGACGCTCTCATCCCCTGGCTTGTTGCTGCGCGTGTCCACCGCGGTCTCCCTGTCTTGCGTCTTCACTTTGACCGTGGTGGCGAGTTTGCCTCAGGTGTCCTTGGTCAGTTTTGTCGTGAGAAGGGCATCACCCAAACGTTCACCCTGCCGGACTCCCCACAGCAGAATGGGGTCACTGAGCGACGCATCGGTTTGGTCATGGAGGTGGCTCGCATCTCCATGATTCATGCCGGTGCACCCCATTTTCTGTGGCCGTTCGCCGTGCGCTACGCTGCTCACCACCATAACCTGTGGCCGCACCCCCAGCAGCAGTAGGTTTTGCTGACCCTTCTCTGGTCTGGGTCTCCCAGTGACGCGTCTGCGTTCCACGTCTGGGGCTGCCTTGCTCACGTTCGTGCCTCCGGCACGGACAAGCTCACTGCCTGCACCGTTCCCTGTGTCTTCCTCTCTGTTTTCCCCTTGACGCGTCCGACTGGCATTTCTACCACCCACCGTCCCACCGGTTCTTTCACTCCCGCGACGTCACCTTTGACGAGTCCGTCACCTTCTACCGCCGCTTGCCCCACCGAGGTCCCCCGATTAATCCCCCCCTCTTTCTGGTCACTCCTTCCCCGGTGGTCCCTGCCCCTCCCCTCCCCCCCTCCCCGTCCTGCCCCCTTTGGTGTGTCTCATGTCACCCCCCTCCCGTCGAGGAGTTTCTGACTCTGGTAGTCCTGCGGCGCAGTCCTTGCCGTCTGCCCCTCCCCAGGTGTCTCCTCCTCCACTGCCTCCACAGCCGCCGTTGCCTCTTCTGTCGCCGCCGTCGTCTCCGCAGCCGCCGCCGCCGCAGCCGTCGTTGCAGCCGCCGCCGCCGCCATCGTCGCAACAGCAATTCGAGGACTCCGGGGGTGCTGGCGTTGGAGTGGGGACTAGTCTCGGGGCTCATGTGGTGGCTTGTCCCGGCGGGCCTGGGGGTGGTACCGATGCTGGAGGGGTTTCGGGCTCTGGGGGTGTTCCTTCTGAGGGTGCTAGAGTGGAGTGTTCCAGAGGTAGCCGAGGAGCAGCTTGCGGTCCCGGTGTCGGTGTTGTGCCGCCACAGCAGCAGTCCCCGCCGGTGTCAGCCCTTCGCCTACCCGGCCTTCCGTCCCCTGACCCTGCGTCTGTTCCTCTTCTGCCGTCTCCTCCCTTCCTGTCTACGGCCCTATGTTCCCTCCGCCGGACTCGTCTCCGGCTCGTCTTCCCCCTCGTTCCCCCCTTGTGTCCCCTCCTCTGTCTCCTGACTCGACGCCTCCGTCTCACGTCTGGTCTCGACGTCCCTCCCGCGCTCGTCCTGTCTCCCCTGTCACGCGCTCTTACCCTATGTTGCTTCGTTCTCACGCGTCTCGTCCACCCCTCCTGCCGTCGCCTCCTTTGTCGTAGCGCCTCCCCCTCTGTCTGACTACCTTCGTTCCGCTCGTCCTCTTGTTCCTCAGGTCCTTGCCTCTCTCGTTACGGACCCGTCCGTTCCGGTCTCGTGTCTTGACACTCTTGTAGCTGCGGTCGCTGACTTCGCCTCTACGCGCCGCCTTGACTACGCCACCGCTCTGGTCTCCGACCCTGCCTGTCCTCCGTCTGTCGGGGGTGCTCTTGCCCTTGGCAGTGACGTCCTGGAGGACCGCTAGTTCGAGCTTGCTTTCCTGTCCGAGGCTGCTCCCCATCTCTGTTCCATGCTGCTAGTCCCTGAGGGTGACCCAGACGCTCTCGACATCCCGACCCCTCGCACTTACGCTGAGGCGGTTTCGGAACCTTGGGCCTCTCAGTGGATAGCTGCCATGGAGCAGGAGATGGCATCTTGGAGATCCACCGGCACCTACGTCGACGTAGTTCCCCCACCTGGGGTGAACGTAGTCGATGGCCGCTGGCTGTTCAAGGTGAAGCGCCCTCCTAGAGAGCTGCATGTGTTCAAGGCGCGCTACGTGGCTAGAGGTTTCAGTCAGCGTGAGGGGGTGGACTTCTTTCAGACCTTCGCTCCGACCTAGAAGATGACTACTCTTTGGGTGCTGCTACACTTAGCAGCTCAGCGTGACTACGAGCTTCACTCCCTCGACTTCTCCACTACGTTTCTTCAGGGCAGCCTACACGAGCAGGTCTACCTGCGTCGCCCTCAGGGGTTCACTTGCACTTTCCCTCCTGGGACCCAGTGGCTCCTGCGGCGCCCCGTCTACAGCCTGCGGCAGGTTCCCCGTGAGTGGCACGACACGCTGCGTACTACCCTTGCTGACCTGCAGTTCTTTCCGTCTTCTGCAGACCCCTCACTCTTCGTTCGTGCTGGCCTGACTCCGTTCTACATCCTTGTTTACGTGGACGATTTGGTCTTTGCCACCGCAGACAGGGACGTACTGGCCTCGCTGAAGGCAGAACTGCTGAAGAGACACACTTGCACTAACCTTGGAGAACTGCGCCGTTACCTTGGCTTGCAGATCTCCAGGGATAGTGCAGGGCGCACCATCACTTTGACTCAGTCACACTTGGTGCGCCAGGTCCTTCAGAGGTTCGGCCTTCAGTTCTCCTCCGCACAGCCCACCCCTCTGCCTCTAGACCACAGACTCTTCGCTCCAATTCTTGAGGAGTCAGTAGAGCCCAGTGGTCCTTACGCAGAGCTAGTGGGTTGCCTCGTGTACCTGATGACTTGCACTCGTCCAGATCTTGCATACCCTCTCAGCATCCTGGCTCGCTTTGTAGCCACAGGCAGACACCGACTGCAGCACTGGTCTGCCGCTAAGAGGGTTTTGCGTTATCTTGCAAGTACATCGGGCATGGGGTTAGTGCTAGGAGGACGCATGCCAGTGGTCCTTACTAGACTCTCAGACGCTTCTTGGGCAGACGACGCCGAGACCCTCAGGTCTTCCCAGGGCTACTGCTTCAGCCTTGGTTCAGGTGCTGTCTCGTAATGAGCTACCCGCTCTTCGTCTGTTGCCCAGTCCAGCTGTGAGGCCGAGATCTACGCCGGTGCCATGGCGGCACAGGAGCTCCGCTGGCTGACCTTCTTGCTCACTGACTTTGGTGAGCGGCCTAGCTCTGCCCCGGTCCTGTACGCTGACAACAGGGCCATGATCCTCCTGTGTCAGGAGCCTCGACTCGAGGGCAGAGCGAAGCACATCCAGCTGCGGTACTTCCTCCTGCGCGAGCTATAGCAGCGCCGCTATGCTCGCGTAGTACACTTGGCCTCCGGTGCCAACACAGCTGATATCTTTACGAAGGCGCTTGCGCCTAAAGATCATCAGCGGCAATGTGTACAGCTGGGTCTAGTTCCTGTAGCCTCTCATTTGCTAGGACCTTGACTTTGTACTGTCCTTTATATATGTTCCTCGTCCGACTTGTGTCCTCTTCCAGTGGCTAGACTAGTAGTGCCGCCCTGGTCTTGTTCTTGCCTTGCCTGTACTCCTTTTGACTGGTCTTTAGACCCTTGTCTTAATGGTTGGACTAGTAGTGCCGCCCTGAGCTGTTGTGTCTCGCATACGCAACTGCGCCTATGCAGACCAGGGGGTGTGTCAAACATTTATGCACTATGTTTGTATAGACTGTATAGGTTCATCTCTTAGGGGGTACAACATTTAGGTATATTCACTTGTACTCTCCCTACTCAATTTCATTATTATTCATTTTGTTAGTGTCAACATATATTTCTATATATTATATGCTAGATAGGTGCATGCTCATAGAGGGTACAGCACCATAGCACAAACCTCCTTGTATGGCATGATCTAGTTATTGCGTTATTCTTACAGATGGACCCTTCATTTCTTCAGTCGCGACATGTTCCAGGCATGGTGGTGGTGACTAGGCTGGACTAGACAACCAGAGTTCTGGAATGCTTGCAAGCTTGCCTTCTTGCAGGCTCACATTTTCTGGAATTCTGATTGTGTGGGCCAACTGCGAGTGCCCCGCCCCGCCTAAGGAATTCCCTCACACGTTTTCCATTGTAACACATAGAGCATTATTTGATTACACGCCACAAAAGATTACCTTCCAAGTGCTGTACGTAAGGCAATCCTTAGTGACTTCAAAAACCATTTAGAGACAATTCTATGAGGTGTGGATATTGCACGGTAAAGGGAGATAAAAAGGTGTTTCGAAATTGGGTATGTGCTATATTCCTCTAGCTGTGGGTGCACAAAGCGAACTCATAAGGATTGCATCTTCACAAGATTTAAACAAACATGCATGCGCAACACTACAAACCCAGAAAGCAATAGCAACCAATATGCAAGCAAATCAATACAAACCAGCTCAGCTGTCATGGCCACACTCGAAGCCACAATGCCCCTCACAAAAGCGCACACTAACAGTGGTACAACCCTACAGCGGCTCCTCCTATGCAGAGACTACATGGCAGTCGTGAAAATGCAACAGGCAGTTGCTGTGATTCGCCATGGCCACTGCACTAGCAGCAGCCCACTGCAGCCGGAATGCACTCAATCATCATGCCCCTCGTGGTCATCATGGTTGTCATTGTCATCATGGTCATCATCATGGCTGTCATCATGGTCGTCATCATGGCTGTCATCATGGTCATCATCATGGCTGTCATCATGGTCGTCATCATGGTTGACATTGCTGCTATCGCTGTTGTTGCTACTGGAGCTATCATCACCATTGCTGGAGACACTGTAGGCAACAGCTGCCTGGTTCTGGCTCTGGCTCTCCCCCTGGCTGTCATCGTACCGATACTCCATCACCACGTGCCCATCTGTAGGCTGCACCGCACGGTTGTTGGTGCGGTCGCCATGGTTCATATCTGCCAGAAAGTTCTCAGCAGCTGCAGGAAGAAGAAAGGAGGAGGGGGAATAGGGAGAGGCGGGGTGAGGATGGAACGGAGGTTGAGGCAGAGGGGGGGAAGAGCCATGTTGGCTGCTTCGTTCCGGGATTAAGGTGTGGGCTTGAGAGTAGCACGTGCCTGGAAGGAGACGAGTAGGTCCAGTGCAGTCGCAGCTTGGGCAGCAGAGATCCGAGATGCATCATGCAGCATGCGCGTCCCGTATACTTGGTTCAAGTACAACCAACCACAGAGCTTCAAAAGCGGCTTGTTGGGAGTAACGTATTCTTCAACGAGATGGGCCAAGTTGAAGTGAGAGTAAGAGTGAGAGTTATAGTGAGAGTGAGAGTGGTACCTGGGCAGCGGAGACAGAAGAGGAGGAGCGCGAGATGTGCCACTGGACGGACTCGTTGCAGGGCGGGTGGATCTGCGAGCCGGGATAGTACCAGTAGCCCTTGGACAGGTCCAGAACCTCCTGGAAGTCCGTGTCGCAGTCAACGGTCACGTTCCCCGGCTTCGACGGAATGTTGTTCAGAATCCTGCATGTCGCAGGGGGAATGGGGAGTGAGAGAGCGCAAGAGAAAGGGACTACGAGCAGACCAGGTTCTTGCGTGGCATTGAAAAAGCTATCGGTTCACGTTGACAGAGACGGGGTGGCGGGGGTGCGTGGGGAGGGAGGGAGGGTGGAAGGGGAGGGGGAAAGAAGGGCCGATACTAGCCAGAGCACTTGCGACCGTCGGACGTGACGTACGTGTTGAGCCAGGGTTTGTCGTTGCCGTCCTTATCAAGACGGAACATGGTGATGACGACAGCTTTGCGCGTGGCGTTGTCCGGGTGGAAGTACGCGTGCTTCACCTCCAGCGGCGCGTACATGCCGTTCACGGGGTGGTTGGCGGGCGTGTGCAGCGACATGTGGTGCAGGTAGTACGTGCCGTCGGACAGGTGCAGCAGGGAGTCGTTGTTGGTCGGGTAGATCACTGCCAGTGGGCGCGCGGGAATGGGGCGTAAATGAATGCGGCGCATTTGATGGAAGGGACTTGGAGAAGTTACGAGTACCAAGAGGAAATCATGCGAAAAGAAAAAGAAAAGAAAAAGAAAAAGAAAACAAAAACGATGGAGCGACGTTTGACTCATAAAGACGTCGTAATGAAGATAGACGATGGCGTGGGCGAGTATTAGCAGTAGCGTATTCATGGAGTAGGGAACGGAGAGGTTGGTGTTCTTGATAAGCATGGTGCTGCTCCACACGTGCGCCAGCGTCATGTAACGGTTTCCGCGACGCTTGACGGAATCCGTCACGATGTCGATGGGACTCTGGTTTCCTCCTGACGTGCACACGCCCTGCGGAATAGCAAGCGACGACAATGAGGTCAAAAGTGAAGATACGGTTGAAGTTTTTGAGCTGAGAGCTGAAGGGATGATACGGAGATGTAAAGCTGAATCGTTCTATATGTGACATCGGGATAATCTCGCTCAGAAATTCAAACTTTAGCAGCCTCTCAGCAGAAAGTGGCGCGTAGCGAACGACAGACGGGAACAGATTCAAGTCGAGAGCTGTTAGCATGCAAATTACCGGCCAGTCGGAGCCGCCGTGGTCATAGTTGTAAACCGGGGCTTGTTGTCCCGTGCTAAGCGCGATGAGCAGCAAGAGGAGCGCAGCAGTGAAGGCAAGACGAGCCATCGTATGGTGTCAACGTCGAATGAATCTCGCGAGATGGAGAATGGGAGAGCCTAGTTTGATGCACAAATTCGAGCGAGGGTGGGCAGGGCAGTGCAGATTGAGAACGAGTGCTCACGGAAATTTGGAACAGATTTATGCAATGTGGAGCAGGGGCTTCGTGAAGGGGGTGTGGGGGGGGGAATGTGGGGGGCAAGAGTACGGCTTCCCGCATTCCCCCCCCGCATGTACGGCTTTTGGAGGAGAGGGGGATAGCATTTTGGCTGGCATTCGCTTGTCCAGCCGCGCACTTGGAAGCACTCCCTCCACATCACCAATCCCACTCCACCCCACATCCTCCAATTCCCTTCCTCGTTCCCTGCCCCTCCCCGGCACCCTTGCCAGTCAGGTACAGTACACCTTGAGCTTGACAGAGGAGCACAACTTTTCAGGGTGCCGGTAGACAAAAACGCGCAGAGGTTTCGCACAGCATCGTCACAGGCATGGGGGCCTTTCGCACGGGCAGGAAGGTTACCATGTTGTAGTTTAGCGGGGTAGGTTTGAGTGGCTTGATTTGGCAAGCCATTGTTCACGTGGTTACCCTGTTTGAAGTTTCGGCGTTTTCTACCATGATGTGATGAAACCAGCTCCAGGTCGAGAACTCGTCAGACAGATCATTAACAGGGTCGCAAATGACGAACTCACGGTTAGGGGCGAAACAGCTGCCCAGTCAGCATCGCAAAGACTGACACACACAGCACGCGCAACTGGCGATCAATGCCACCCCTGAGCCTCGAAAGTCAAACCGCAAAACACGATGTAGTGAATTTTGTAGAAGTAGCACCACATTGCACTCACAAAAGACAGTAGCGCAACGCGCGCAACTTCCCCAGCGCACTGTGGAATCGGACCACGTGGAAGCGCAACACACTCTGTTAAAAATTTGACCAGGCCTCAGCCACCCTCGCGCCGCACTCGCAATTTTCGGCAGAACCAAACCGCATTCAAACGCACATTTTCCCGCCACAGTGGCAATCCCCAGTAACATTAACAACAGACACCAGAAACAAACCGCAATCCCGACCGCAGTAACCACACCGACGGCCTAAGTTTTCGCCCTGACCAAAAAAACGACAGGACACAACTGTTTCGCCACACATAACCAATCTGTCGCGAACTCCACATTGAAACATTGCTCCCAGTAAGATTGCCAAGGTGTATGTTTTCGCCCGCACTGAACCAAACCCCCAGTCGCGAACCCCACAATGAAACAACGCACACAAACTTCGGCATAACCCCATCGAACCCACCTCACACTTTTTGCCAGCACCACATGGAGACCCACAGTCACGACCAGAGAGCCAAACTCATAGAGCACGAGAGAGGTAACACACCAGAGCGCACACACAACAGCCGCTCAATTTAGTCAGCCAACCACATAGCTAATACTTGTGCCGCTCATCCATTGAAACGCATTGAGGCTTACACAAATGCACCCCGCATCCACTCGGCGGTCTCAGGTAAACCGTCCATAACCGCACCTACCCCTTGGTGAAGTAGCTCCTCGCGACGCTCGCTACCCGTGATGGACCATGGCAAACTACGCCCCACCGGCCGAGGAGCGGAGGTCCTGGGAGGGGGCGCGTTGAGGTCGGGAAGCGGACTAGCCCGCTCGAGGCGCTCAACGATTAGGGGGTTGCGGATATCGAAAAGAGCGCGCAAATCATCCCAAAGTTCTGCGAAGGCAAAGCGGCCTTGGGGGCGAGGGATACCCACAGGTGTCCTACGCCAGGATGCCCCATTGTTCCCCCCAAGAGTGCCAGGAGAAACCTGTGCGCAAGGCGAAGCTGTTACCTAGGCAAAATAATTCGCTACCCCTCGCAACGAAACTTGACAGCCAATCAGGATCTGCTTACCAAGCTGATTTTGGACTCAAACCATCAGTTCGTGCTGGCCAATAGCAAGGTGCAAAGCCCAGGCCTGGAGTTGTGCCGCCAATTGCATACACGCGTGTACAGCGAAGTTGAAAACTAGATAGACATAAATTATCAAACTTGTATGACTCTAGACAAGGCCGCTTTTACGCGTACGATATTGATGGGTACGGTCTTCCAACAGCTGACCAATGAGAGCACACCAGCGTTTTCTCCTATTCTTTGGCTGCCAACTCATGCGAAATCACAAGTCTGGTAAGGACAGAATGAAGGTGGGGCGCGTTCTGCTAGGCGGTTTCAAACGACAATGTTCAGTCTGAAAGTCGAAATCTAAGGCCTTGTTACAAAATATCGGCTCAATATGCCCGCGACATATGGTGTTCAACGTACAGCGCTACGCAACGAACACACAGACTCGAATCTCGGAACACGACTCCAAACCCAAGTTCTCCATTGGGCCATCTGGCTGCTCTCACTGGACTTCAACTGAACTCGATCCTCAATCCTTCCATTCATTGTTTCTCACGCCAGTTTCTACCTTTCTTCCTTAGCGATGCACCGTTCACATTAGACACAGCGACCAGGTTAGGGTGAACGCGTCACTTCGTGTTAGCATTCCTGCTTTTCATGCTTGATTTCTTTCAACGCGTGCCAGTTAGCCGCTCCCCTCCTGTCACAATTCGTGAATTAACGCTATACTATCTTCTTTGTTTCTCTCAAATACCCAAGCCCGCGGCCCTCGGACGGTCAGCTTATCGATGTCGTACCTGTGCGTATACCCTAGGTACAACTCTGCGCTTCGACCCGTACCCGAGTCTGGTTCATATATTTGATTCCCCGTTTGTGGTTTTGTCCCGGTCACAACCCCCATTCTTGCATGGTCTTTGGTCGGACGTTGGCATTCGTGTTATGGCGTTTTGTCACTTCAAACCGTGTCTTATTCCCGCTTTTCGTTTTTCCAGGACGAAGGCAAAGGTTCTTTTAGAAATTTGGACCTCTGTCGTTCAGGTGATGGCACGTGATTAATTTGGCTGATACTAGTCGCGTTTTCGACAGTGGCTCACTGCCATTTACGATGAAGGGTAAGGCACATCTTCGCGGTTTGCCTTTGCATACCTGTGTATGCCTGTTTTTTCGTCTTGTTTCATCACAGCAGCCGTGCCAACTTGCGATGTCTCTTATCCTGCCGGAGCTGTACAGAGAGAGGTTCAGGTTGTGTCCCGCCAACACTCTTTTTGTGAAGTGTTTCTCTGGTCCGGGCTCTGACTGCCTAACTGTAAGAAGCGTAAACTGGTTTTGTTTATTTTTCCTTTCCCTGTCTTTTTTCTTTTTTAG